TGAAGAGCTAGAGCATGGAAAGAAAAGGAAACGAGAAGTTGAAAATTGGTTGAGAAATGTTAAAAGAAAGAAAACTGAAGTGCATGGCATGGTTCAGGAATTGAGAGATTGTGGAATGTTTAGGCATCTAAAGCTAATTGTACAAGTAAGGAAATTAACAGGACAAGTTACAGATCTCGTGGAGCGTGGTAGGTTCCCTGAAGGAATTGTGGGCAGTGCACAGGAATCAAGAGGATGTGCATTGTTGACAACAGAATTAGCAGGTGCAATGTTTCAGAAAAATGTTAGTAAGATATGGGACTGGTTGATGAACGATGGTGTGTTGATGATTGGTGTGTATGGCATGGGAGGAGTGGGAAAAACAAGTGTGCTAAAGCACATACATAATATGCTTTTAACAGCAGTCACCAACTTTGAAAGTGTGTTTTGGGTGACTATCTCAAAGTCATTTAGCATTCATAAATTGCAGTGCGATGTGGCAAAAATAGTTGGGATAGATATTTCCAAAGAAAGTGATGAAAGGAAGAGAGCAGCAAGATTATCACGGGCCTTGGTGAGAAGGAAAAGATGTGTTCTTTTTCTAGATGATGTGTGGAACCATTTTCCTCTAGAGAGGGTGGGAATTCCTGTGCGAGCAGATGGGCTAAAACTGGTTTTGACAAGTCGTTCCTTAGATGTGTGTCGAAGGATGAATTGTAAAAACAGTGTCAAAGTGGAGCCTCTTTCGATGGAAGAAGCATGGACCTTATTTGTAGACAACCTTGGACAACAGACAACTCTTTCTCCAGAAGTAAAACAGGTTGCAAGATCTGTTGCAAAGAAATGTGCTGGTTTACCCCTTGCAATTATTACATTGGCTAGGAGCATGAGGGGAGTGGAAGAGATTTGTGAGTGGCGGCACGCACTGGAAGAACTAAGAAACACAGAAGCAAAGCACGAGGAAATGGAAATGGAGGTGCTCCGGGTGTTGAGATTTAGCTATGATCACTTGAATGATAAAATGGTACAGCAGTGCTTCTTATGCTGTGCATTGTATCCTGAAGATTTTGAAATAGACAGGGATGTTTTGATAGAGAGTTTTGTTGATGAGGGGCTGGTGAATGGAATGAAAAGTTTGGAGGCCATGTTTGATGAAGGGAACAGCATAGTGAATAAGCTTGAGAACATTTGTCTTCTGGGGAAAGTGGAAAATTTTGTTGGTGGAAAGAAATGCATGGGGCTACAGGATGCTAGCAGTCATATAGCTATTAGCATGATGAAAAGGGGATGCCAACATGTGGAACCAATGAACAATGTAGAAGGGTATTATGTGGGTAGTCAATTGGTGAAAATGCATGATTTGGTGAGGGCAATGGCTATTAATGTTATAAAGGTGAACAACAATTTCCTGGTGAAGGCTGGATTACAATTGACTAAGATTCCTGATGAAGTAGAATGGAGTGAGGACCTAGAGAAGGTTTCCTTGATGTGTAATTGGATACATGAAATTCCAACAGAGATATCACCTAGGTGTCCTAAACTTAGAACCTTGATTTTGAAGCACAATGAATCCTTGACAAGGATCTCTGATTCGTTTTTTGTTCACATGGCAGCTCTTGAAGTTCTTGATTTGTCTTTCACAGATATTGAGGTTTTGCCAAAATCTGTGTCTGACTTGAGTACCCTCACTGCTTTGTTACTAACATCTTGTAAGCGATTGAAGCACATGCCTTCACTGGCAAAGCTTCAGGCCTTACTAAGGTTGGACCTATCTTTTACTGCAATCACAGAAATGCCTCAAGGTTTGGAAATGTTAGTAAACCTAAAATGGCTTAATCTTTATGCAAAAGACTTGGTATCATCAGGAAAAGAAGTAGCAAAATTGACTAGTCTCCAATTTCTTATTCTCCACTGGTGGTCAAGAAAGATAAAAGTGAAAGTAGAGTATACATCATGCCTGAGAAAGTTGGAAACTTTTGCAGCTAACTTGTACAACATGCACCATTTCAATTCCTATGTGAAAACAATGAACATATATGGACCTAGAAGTTACCTTCTTCTGTTAGACACTGAAGAGTCTCTAGGTAACTCTCCGTGGTGTTGTTTTGCCGAGGTTTGCTTTAGGAAGGATGTGATAATTTCAAATTGCAAAATAAGAACAGGAGAATCACCCCTTATGCTCCCTTTAGACATTCAACGCTTGAAGGTTGAAAGATGTCATGACATTCGGAGCTTATGTGATGTTATGTCATTGAAAAATGCCACCTCTTTAAAGCGCTGTGAGATTGCAGACTGTGATGGACCAGAGTACATGTTTTCTTTATCTTGCTCTTCCTCATGTTGCACCTCTCTCCACAGCTTAGAATCATTGGAACTCTATAGCCTAAAAAATTTGCATGGTCTATGTAAGGAAGGTGAAGTTGCAGCTCAAACCTTTCCACCAGGAAGAGCTTTTACTTGTCTGAAGTACTTTTTCATCTACAGTTGTCCCCTAATCAAGAAGCTTATCACACCTAGATTGCTAGCTTATCTACCGAACTTAGAAGAGATAACTGTTCATAACTGCAAATCAATGGAAGAAATAATCTCAGTTGATGGAATAGATTATGAAAGCTTTGGTGGTAAAAAATCTTATGTGACTAACAGAGATACTATTGTAGTCACACATTCAAAGTTAGTGTCATTATCATTGAAGCACCTACCAGAACTCAAAAGCATAAGTAGTGCACAAATGGAGTGCGAGTCTCTCAAAAACTTTAGAATCTTTAAATGTCCAAAACTTGCGAGGTTCCCAGAGACCGCCACCCCAGTTCAGATTTTGTACGATTCTTTCTAACTCTGGCCTAACTCTATATTGATATGTATATATTGGAAGTATAATGACTGGGTTGGGTAACTGAAATGAAATCTAATTGAAAATTTATTGATTGAAATGTAAATATTGGGAATATGATGACTGAGTATGATGAATTGATTACACTAGCTAATTTCTCAAACCCTTAGAGAGAAGAATTTTAAGACAACTGTAGAGTCAAATGATTATACAGACTCATGTCCAATGTTAATGTAAGAGTTTACCATCTTGTATTGAGTTCCATGTTATTATCACATAGCATAGTTTGACATCATAGCCATATCTCTGTGAATAAAGTGAAACTAAATTGTTTTTCTTTCATTGATAAGTCTTTAGCTTAGGGAATAACAGACTTTTCTAAATTTTACTCACTCTATCCAAAACATCCTCTTTTGAATTAAAGACAGCAAACAAGGTGAATTAGATTGACTGATCTGATTATATTTCTTAGTTATTGCCATCCATGGTTTATTTTAAGCGGAAGGCAGTAATTTGACCAAATTAACATGAAAATAACATGAAAATAACATGAAAACATTGTTGATAAAAAGGACCCTCTCTACTGTCGCTTTTTTTCTGATTGTTTCCAATTACTTAAGCACAAGCGCAAATCAGAACACAGATCAGGTCGATTCCTCTCTCTAACTTTCCACGATTAGGACATTGATGTTCTATGATTTGCCCTCTGTAAAAAATTCACAGATCCATATACCCACATAATATAAAATGGAAACAAAGCACATAGAAGCTGAAAATTAGATCTCAATTTTCATTTCATAGGATATCATATATGTACACCATTTCATAGACAAAATTTTGTATGAATCAAAGAGAGCATATAACAGAATGACATCAGAAAGGCTACAATGCAGTATAGGATGAAACTCGTAGCACAATGCAGGTGTGGCATTCACTTTCCACTCTAGAACCTTATAGTATTGGGACCCCAACAACCCAAGTCCATGACTTTCCCCATGGATTCCTCGGTCCTATTAACCTTGTGGGCAACAGCAGCAGAAGTTGCAGAGGACAAGCTCTTGGTCTGAGTGAATGATCCGATGTTGCTCTTGGCATGCTGCTGGAGTGATCTCAAGGCATAATTCCACCTGCACACCCCCAGTTGATCCTTCAAGGCCTCCACTGCCCCAATGCTGGATGTAACAATCCAAGCTCTGGTTGCTGCACTCATGATAACTGCTATGGCTTTTTGATGAAAAATTGGTATGTGATTTTTGGATGTGTTGATTGAGTGGATTGTTTGTTTCTATATATATGTGGGTGAATGAGTGATTTTCAGGAAGGTGGTTAATGCCAAACCACAGGCTTAATCGGGGTGGAAGGAATTGGAGAAAAGCAAAACCAGGGGCGCTGTGCCCCCTGTTTTCAGCTGAATCCTACCACTTAAAAAAATCCACACATTGTCTTGTCTCCTAAAAGATTCATGGTAAGTCGCTGTTTGTCTTAAATAACAATAAAAATATGAAACGCTTATTCATAAGTTACATTACACAACGTGCGGGAAAGAATCCGTGGTTCTACCTTTTCTTCGATTCTTTCGAAGAAAGTAGACGTCAAAAAAAGAAATATATATATATATATATATATATATATTTCTGTAAATCAATATATTTTAAGTTATTTATAATATATTAAGTAATCTTTTACATTTTTAGAGTTTGTAATTGAGTTTCATACATTTATGAATTATTTTCATTTGGATCTTTCCCCGCACTTTCATTTAAAGAATGTAATAATTTAGTATTGATAATCTTCGAACTTATGGCATAATTCTTTTACAGCGATTTCGTCGTTAACTTTAAAATAAAATACGGTGACAATGGAACTATTTTTACTTTTGTTATCTGTAATTTAAGTAAAAAAATATTAAACTATCTAAGGGCATAATACATCATGTTTAAAAAATATATATAGTTGTATATTTTGAAATGAAAATAGCAATTTACACAACACTTCACTTAAAACATCTAAGGGATATACATCATAAATAAAATATTATTTTAGTTTTTAAATATATAACGTTGTCATTTTCTTTTGAGCTTTTCCAAAGATATATTGCTACAGAAAAAAAATATTTTAGTTTTCTTAATCTAGAATTGTTGCCACCATTCTTTAAGAAAAAAATATTTTAAATTTTCATTTAAATATATAAAAATATCTTTTCAGTTGTGAAATTATAAAATTTTACGATGTCTTACTAATGTAATCGTATATGGTGTTTACTGTATTTTTGGGATGTTACATAATGTATATAATTTAAATACGTATCTCTAAAAGAAATATAATTGTATTTTCTTAATTCATACAATACTATATTCATTTTGAATCCGTCTCTCACTAATAATTATAAAAAAAAAATCAGATTAATATTAATTTTGGTTTTTTTTATCTCACGGTGACATAATGTTTAACTTAATCAACAGTGAATAAATGACTTGTCCAAATTTTATTATATAATAATTTTTGTTATCTAATTAATTTTTCTTTTGTCAGTTTAAATAAAAGGTTAATTTATCTTTTATTTTAATTAGATTTTTAAAAATTATTGACTTTTATTTTTGGAACTTTTTTTTTTTTAACAAATTCACGAGCGTGAGTTCCTTGTTATACAAGGAGACACCATCCTCCTTTCTCTCCTTTTTCTGGATTGGTATTGCAAGAAACATTTTTTTTTCCTTCTTCTTGTTCTGGTTTTGTTATGGTTCTGTTCGTATTATAGTTCCAAAATAGAGTTATATTTTTGGGATTTCGATCTCGCGATGTTGGATTTCCTTTCTTGGATTGAGTTTTTGTTTTATTTTCTCTACAGATTGGTGACACAATGGTTGAAATTCTTTGTGATCTTGTGATTTGGGGATTTTAAGGTTTTCGGTTGGGATTGACAGTTCTGATTTAGAAATTTATTATGTCTTGTTTCTCCTCTCCAGATTGTTAATGCGATTTGGGGTTAGGGTTTTTGAATTAGGGTTTTGTTTTCTGATTTCACATTTTGGGATTATTTGTAATTGTATTCTATCTTGCACTTTTGGAGTTTTTGAAATATGTGATTTTGTGTTTTTGGGATGTTTTAATTGTAATTTGTTTTAACCTTAACTTTAACTTTTCCACGTCAATAACTTTAAGTTTTAACATTTACATGTCAATTGACCTGAGTTTGCCACGTAATGAATAACTGGACAGGTCATTCACTATTGACTAAAGTGGATATTACACAGTTAACGTTTTTAACACCGTTAACAAAAAGGACCCAACTTAAACTATCTTTACAAAACATAGTATCACAAAACATATGATCACTCTGAACAATTCAAAAATAGAAGGATCTCTAAACAAATGTAACAAAATTAGAAACTAAAATTTGTATTAAGAAAAAAAATCTACCTATTAATACAAACACTAAAAAGCTAAATACTTTACGAGCAATGTCATAAAACAATAAGGACAAATTTTAAAAACAAATAACAAGAAAAATAAAGTTAAGAAAAGTTTCGATATAAAATTACATTTTGAATTTTAA